CAGTGTAGTGGCACGTGAGCACATAAGCATCAGAACTGGAGCAATGGAAAAAGATGGCATTGTATGATGAATTCAAGAGTGGTTTCAGAACACGAGTTTGAGGTGTTAACTTGCCTCCAAATTCTCCAGATTTCAATCCAATCGAGCATCTGTGGGATGTGCTAGAAAACCAAGTCCAATCCATGGAGGCCCCACCTCACAACCTACTGGACTTAAAAAATTTGCTACTGACAGCTTGATGCCAGATACCACAGCATACCCTCAGAGGTCTGATGGAGTCTACGCCCCGATTGGTTATGATGGTCATAATGATATGGCTGTTTAGTGTATATGACACTCTGGATTTCCATGACCTTGACTCTGCAAATTTTACTATATACACATCCTGTCTGTGATAAGTGATTCTTCTATTGATGAGACACTGTTGTCCCAAAAATGCAGGCAAGTCTTGAAAAACATGTTGACATTACAGATGTCAAATGTATTTATGAATGAGTAAAATCTAGAGAAGGTTGGACATACATATATTTGTTTTTATGCTATTGAGAGCATATGGTGCATGCCCTTACATTTTTAATGTATATATGACACTTGTAAAAATATACATTTTGTTTGTTTTTGTAAATAAATCTGTATATAGTTTTGTATCTTTTTGCATCTGTTGACCAGAAAGCCCAATGTTGGTTTTTGTTGGGGTTTTTTTTTTAAGCGCCAGGCAGATTTCTAAAGCTCTTCTATCACTGTGCTTTTTGCTGTAACGTTTTCCTGTGCCTCAAAAAAGCACACTTCAAGGAATTAAATAAATCCCTAACAACAATTTTCTGGCACTATGACCCTTTAGAATGGCCTGTGTCAGATTAAAAAAATGCTTGCCATCTGTTTTGGTAACTTTACAAACACTTGTGGCAGATTCACGTTTACAAACTGCTAAATTAAAAAAATAATTACCTCCAGTTCATAGATAATGAAACCGGAGGTAATTAATACCTACTCTAAAGTAGGATACACACTATGAGAAAATCAGACAAACAGTCATCCGAGTTTTCACAAAGGTGCATATCATGATGTAACCAACAATGGTATTAACTTGTATGAAATTTCTTGAAATACAAAGGCAAATGTTCTTTCTTGTATGCAATTTCTATGTTCGTTGCCATATTCTTCCGAGTCATTCTTTGCTTTTGATCATTTTTCTTTTTGATTATTTCTTTACGATTACTGTATATACTGAGCAAAAATCATACATTGTGTTTACATATAAAAAAAATTTTCTAGCTTGCACCTTTGTTTTTTTCTTTTCATCCAAACAGTCGAAATCGGCTGTTGAATAAACTATACTAACAATCAGATAATCAACCGATCGTTTCTCGTACAGAATTTTTCTTTCAGTTTCAGTGTGTACCCAGCTTAAGCTGGCGTACAGAGACAGGCAGATTTCCTGTCCCTGTACGCAGTGTAGTAGAGTGGCATACTGGCTGCCGCTACCCCCTCTACCTCTAGGGTAGCTGCTCAGAGCTGCTTATCTTTTCTTCCTCTGCTTTAAAGCTCAGATTTTAGAAAGGTAATAAAATCAGTGTGAATCTAAGTTTGTCAAAGGGAAGAAGTGTCTCAGAAAGTCCATGATGCCCCACAATGACCATATTGAAAATTTATTTTACTATGTGTCTCTTTTTTAGTGCAGGTTTGGTAAACACATATGGCCTGACAAAAGCTCTTCCCTCAGGGATTCTGATATCTAAAGACCAATTGTTTATAAGTTACACAAAAATGTGTAGATCTGAGTTGTGAGGGTGTAAGGGGAGAAAACTCTCAATACTAGGAGAAACTTACATAATTATGTACATTCTATTCTGCCAACCTACAGATACAGCTGGATTCTTGTTCTAACATTTAATATTGATTCAACCCTTCTCTGGCCTCTGCTCTGGGACCAGGAGCCAAAACCGACAGACTTGTTCCAGAATATGGGGAATAAGGTGACTCCCAAAGCTGTAGGTCATATACTGAATGCATCTAAAAATATGTTCTGTCTCTATCGGCCTTATTAGACCCAATGACTGTATAAACAGTAACTTTTATTCAATACTTCAGAGCATGTCTTTTTACTAAATAGCTTAGTCTTCAAACTGGAAAATGAAATATTTGCAATTATGATCATGAAGAATTACACAATATATTCAAATAATAAAATATATATGATTATTTCATTAAAATATCTTTGACATTAAAAATTATACCAATAAAAAGTTGTAATGATGTATAAAGTGCAGTTATACATAGCAACCAATCAGAAACTAACTTATCATGATTGGACTATAAGGCGAAGACCAGTTAGAGGCAAAGTTGCTGTACTTTATACATCAGTGGTCTTTATACTACCTTACTGATTAAATTTGTTTTCCACTTATATTTATTAAAAGTCTTTATATAACACTTGTAAACATCAATGTGCCATACTGCAAAGCTGAAGTACCATTTGACACATTGCAAACTGACAAGTGTTACTGTACAGATCAATAGATTTTAATCAAAAGTGTATGCAAGGTTGTAAACCTAAAAGTATGATAAATTACCACAGCTATCCAAATTCTTAATATTGATTTTAGCTTTGTAATGAACTGTTTTAATATATATTACATTAGAAAATAGGAATTGTAAAGTTAATACATCCAGCTGGAGACCTGTGACCATGATGCATTGCTACTGACAATAGTTATCTATGGTAATAGGTGAATGGTACATCTATCCTAAGCTGCACTGTGCGAACAAATGTTTGCAGAGCAGGTGATGAAGGATTCCTGAAATCTTACTTACACATTTATTTCTTGTTTTGCATTTTAAAAAGAAAATTTCCATGTGCAAAATAAAAATATTGCAAATATAAGCAAAACTGAATCAAGAAACACTGTCTCACTTATGTGATATACTTTTTTACATAAAGGACATTGCAATCCTTATTGCAAAATGGATCTGCATTAGGAGTTATTGGGTAATTCTTGGTTTAAAAACAATGAAATATGCATAAATGTTTCAGGAAAATGACTAAAATACAAGGCACAGAGCTCTTAGATAGCCTCTAATATCCATATATTTCAGTAGAGTTGGACAGAAAATAGTGCATAGTTGCTTTAACAATTATTTGCCTAATTTCCCCCATCAAACGTTTCTTTGTATTTATGCACTTTGCTGTCTGCATTTCCCCTTTGCTGATGTTTGCCTAACTACTGATTTGCTGTTCTTCAATGGGAAATTTGGGTCTCAGTAAAGTTAGTATACAGGGAATATATAATATTGCAAATATTACATTCAGCATTTGAAATATTGCCATTTTCAAATGGTGGCTCGCTGATTTTATCTGATTTACCAGTGATTCCTAAGACCAATGGGTAAACTAAAAAAAAAATAAAATAAGTTATTCATCTGCAACTATTGTGTGAGATCATACATACCTTGCATGAGATAGGTCTCCCCTAGGAGCACTAGAACTTCGCTTAAGTGTACCTTGGGAAACACATATTTATTATTAATTATACTTACATTTCTGCATAAAGTAACAGAATATACTTATATCCATACAACAGTTGAAATATTTAATGAAAGTTTATTGTACAATAGTTGCATTTGATAATTGCACACATCTTTCGCTGTTTAAGAAAGTTCCATATCAGTGAAAGCATATAAAATATTGAAAAGATCAGCACAGTTTTATTTTCTGCATGTTTCAGCATTTTCATTCTTAGCTTCATGCACAAAGTTTCACCCATAATATTATTCATCAAGCCATTTTAACCCTTTTTTTTACAATAATTTCCTTCTTATTACCCAAATCACTTTACTGAAAAATTACTGTCATTCTCTGCCATGTTAAACCACAAGCTATTTTTACCGCTGCTTTGCTAGAAATGTCCAAATTTCACATTAAATCCCATAATGCATTGCTTTAATAACAACCAGATAGGCCAGAAAAAAAAGAAATATACTACAAATGGAAATATAGTATATAATCAGCTTTCTTCTGCTTTTGCTGGAGGAACATGAATCCTAAAATGGCTGTTATTACATCATTTGATTTATCTTTGTTTTAATATGTATTACTTTAGTTTTAAACCAGGCTGCAAAAAGTAAATAGGGAGTAAACGGTAGACTCTGTAGATATCTAGCAGTGAATGGTGATTTAAATGAAAAACAAGATATTCTTTTAAAACTGGATGTTCCTAAAATGACTTAATACAACCAAATATGAAAAATATGTATTTTTTATTGTAATAATTTGGATGGAAATAATTGTATCGGTAAAATATCACATTTTGAAAAGCTAATTTTTATTTAAAAGGTGCTTGTTTGTTAGTACCGTGCAGAACCTCCAGCTGCGTGGACCAGGTTACTATCTGTGGTCTGGGTGATTTCCAAAGACTTTTCCAACATTGTTGGCTCTACTGACAGTTATCAGAATCAACGTAGAGACACTTGCTTTTTGGATTATTAGTGTTCCATGGTGACAGGTGCTTCATTGTTTTCTTAACGTAATTAAGTATGACCTTGCTGAAAACATTGGAGTCTCTACAAGGCTAACTGACTTTATCTCAGTTTTCAAAAGGAACCTGTCAGGACAGATATATAGGTGCTACGTGGTTGGCTACTACATCTGCTTCTCAGTAAACCTTGGGCAGCCCTTTGCTAACCTGGCTCCCAGGGCTTAAAATTTCAAATCCTGAGCTACTAGCCAGGCCTTAAGCGTTAATCGCCACCAACAAACACACACAAACACAGACACCTGTACACACACACACAGACATGTACATACACACACAGATACATGTACATACACAAAACACACACACGTACGTGCACACACAAACAGCGACACCTGTACACACACACAGACATGTACATACATATACACAAACATGTTACACACACGCACAGAGATACATGTATACACACATACAGACACATGTATACACACACAGGCACGTACAGACACGCATACACACAGATACATGTACATACACAGAAATACACATGCGCAGACACATGTACATACATACACAGACACATGTACATACATACACAGACACATGTACACACAGACACATGTACGTACATACAAACACACACATGTACATGCACACACACACAGACACGTAAACTCACACATACATGTACATACACGCAGACAAATGTACAGATACACACATGTACATGCATACACAGACACATACGCATGTACACACACGCACGCATGCTGTTAAGTGCTCTCTCCTCTCCCCTGAAGCCACCATTGGCTGACATAGAGTATCATGTGACCAGAGTGAGCTGAAATTAGGTAGGCACAAACACACACACACACCTATAAAAAGTTGCAGTACTTCGTTGTTCACTCACAGATCCGGGTACTGCACTCTAGGGGGCAGAGAGAGAGCACAGCACACACTCCTTCCTTTGCTTTCACTGCGCTCAGCTATTGAGCAGTCTGATGGCTCCCAGTGCCAATGACAGATCCGGCCTGAGCTCCGAGCCTGCTCAGCAAGACGGCCCTGGGGGACACACTCGCCCCCACCATAATTTCCACTCGCCATTGGCGAGCAGGCGAGTGGAAATTTCAAGGCCTGCTCTAGACTACCAATTAGTTTTTGTCACTTTCTTTCAGAGTTGTTACATACATAACCCTACCCAAGATGAGTAAGTTGGTAGAATCCAAATGCAGCCTCAGAACAACTAAAGAGGAAATAACACGTGCCCATGCACCCCAAATGTAGCCTCAGAACAACTAAAGAGGAAATAGTATGCAACCATGCGCCCAAATTAAGAGGCACGTAAACAGATGCCAGAAGCCTAGCTAATAAAATGGAAGGCCTGGAGCTGTTAATATACGAGGAGGATTTCAACTTTGTAGGAATATCAGAAGCTCAGTTTCACAGCTCACATGACTGGCTAGCAACTGTTCAGGGGTATTCCTTATATCAGAGGGACAAAGAGTGTAGAAGAGGGGGAGGGGTGTGCCTGTATATCAAGAATAATTTGCTAGTGAACGTGAACGACGACATTGCTAATGGGGTGAGGGAGAAGGCAGAATCCTTCTGGCTGGAGGCCCAAAGGAACAAAACACATGGGAAAGTAATGGGCGTATGCTATAAGCCCCCAAACTTGAAGGAGGAGGAAGAGTCTGATCTTCTATCACAGTTAGGAATGATGGCGAGGCAGGGCAATGTTATTATCCCGGGGGATATCAATTGTCCAGATATCAACTAGGCAGAAGGAACTTCTCACTCATTTAACCACTTTCTGACCACATAACGTAGTTATACAATGGCAAAATAGCTCTCCTGCACCAGATCATGTAACTAGTACATGATCCGGCACTTCCAGACAGGGTGTGTGAGCATGCACCGCCTGCAATACGGCTGTGCTGTGATTTATTACACACAGCACAAGCCGATCAGCAGGTGCCGCCCAATGGATGACTGCAGGCAGATTGTCTGCTGCAATATCGCAGTCCCGCTACAAGTCGCTAATCGCCGCCATTACTAGTATAAAAAAAAAAATTCCAGTATATATACCATAGTTTGTAGATGGTATAACCAATCAATATACGCTTAGAGGGATTTTTTTTACCAAAAATATGTAGCAGAATACATATTGGTTTTAATTATGAAGTAATTTGATTTTTTTTTTTTATTTTTTGTAATGGGTATATTTTATAGCAGAAAGTAAAAAATATTTTTCCCCTAAATTTTCTTTAATTTTTTTCATTTACAGTGCAAAAAAAAAAAGTGATGATCAAATACCACTTGCTTTAAGAACATATTAAATAAAGGTATTTGCCAGTGCAGTCCAATGGGCAACAAAATATAAAAGAGTGAAGGTTAAGCTTGAATGGCTAAACGTTAAGGTAAAATGCATAATAAAGAATATTAATAAATAAAAACATTAAAAATGCATATAAAAAGTATAAAAGAATAAAAATTAAAAATATAAGACCAAGAGAGCATTGTTGGCATTCCAACACTACAAGGAATGGAATAAAAATGTAAGCGTGCAATCAAGGCAGCTAAAATAGACCATGAAAGGCACACAGCGGAGGAGAGTAAATAAAAAAAATTCAAAAATGTTTTTTAAATATAATAATAGCAAGAAAGCAAGGTAAGATCATATTGGCCTCATAAACGATAATCAGGGGAAGTTGATTACAAAGGACAAGGCAGGGGCGGACTGACAACTCATGGGGGCCCCCGGGCAATAGGGGATCATGGGGCCCCCCAGGCAATAGGGGATCATGGGGCCCCTGGGCAATAGGGGATCATGGGGCCCCTGTGTCCTCGCCCACACTCAAACCACACCCAAAAAAGCCTATGAAAGGTACCAGGGGCATCTCATGGAGCCCCTTACTGACCCCAAGCCCGAGTTTCCAAATGGTCAGTCTGCCCCTGGGACAAGGAAAAGGCATCTCTACTAAATTCAATCTTCTCCTCAGTTTTTTACAAAGGAAAAGGAAGGGTATAGTAATCGAGACTCTAAAGTTCGTAACACATCACAGAATGTACCCTTTTGGCTAACAGAAGCCAGCATCAGAAACAGACTTGAAAAACTTAACACAAATAAATCACCAGAACTTGATGGCTTACATCCGAGAGTTTTTAACCCCTTCTCGCCGACCTACGCATATATGTGGCCTCATGGAAGTGGGCCATTATAGGTTGGACGGATATATGTATGTCTGTCTTTGTGCTGGGAGTGCACTGCACAGCACATTCCCTGCGCAGAGACGGGGGCTCTCATCAGAGTTCCAGGTCCCAATCGTTAATGTGAGACCTTGAACTCCTGGTTCCAGATCACCTGATCGCACTAATAGCATCTGATTGGCTATCACAGTGATAAGTCACTGTCAGGGCTCCCGGGTATGACCAGAGGTTTGTGACTGACGCAGGGAAAACGCAGGCTTTATAAACAATATAATTTATTGAAGACTAACAATACAAACATAAACGCAGTGCAATACTAAAACATAACACAGTGCAAACGAACCAAACCAAACCACCCACAGATAACAAAACATACAATGCAAGCATCGTCAGGCAGGCCGGGTCAATAACAGGAGGTCAATAACAGGAGGTCAGAAAGTATAGGGTTAAGCAGGAGAATGGTCAGACAAAGCCAGGGATCAGAGCAGGAGAATGGTCAGACAAAGCCAGGGATCAGAGCAGGAGAATGGTCAGACAAAGCCAGGGATCAGAGCAGGAGAATGGTCAGACAAAGCCAGGGATCAGAGCAGGAGAATGGGTCAGAGCAGGAAAGCCAGGGATCAGAGCAGGAGAATGGTCAGACAAAGCTAGGGATCAGAGCAGGAGAATGGTCAGACAAGCCAGGGATCAGAGCAGGATCAGCAACGAATCAGACAGGAGCAGGAACAGGAACAGGGTAGCAGGAACAGGATACAGGGCCCAGGAGAAACACACACCAAGGCAGAGTCTGCAGGTCTGGCCATCCCTTAAATACACCAGTATAAGCAGTTTCAGGTGTTTGGCTGGCTGCAAGGTTGAGTCTCTGATTGCTGGGAGCACCCGCTGGCCAGCCCTGGTACTGCAGCCCATAAGGCAGGTGAGTCCCACCATTGCTGGCCAGTCCATTCCTGACAGTCACTGTATAATCCACCCCTGTGTATTCTTTCTCTTTGAATAGAGAACATTGATAGTATGTAAATTATTAGAGCGCATGATAAGGGACTGTATCCAAGAATTTGCTGATGAAAACAGAATTGTTAGTAGCAATCAGCATGGATTTTGCAAAAGCATTCAATAAAGCATAAATTGAAATTGAATTCTGTTGGCATGGACCATAGGGTATGTACCTTGATAGAAAACAGCGGTGCGTTCAAAGGGTAGTGGTAAATAGCGAGTACTCAAGGCTCTGTCCTGCGACCAACTCTCGCAAACGTCATCTAGCTCTCACTCTCACATATGTCACCCTGTGACCCTATAGGAGGCTTCTACTTTTACTAAAATAGTAGATGCTATTCTAACTCATTAAAGTATGTCTTTTTTAATAACTTTTGGGTAAAACTTATTCTGGTGGAAGGTATTGTATTCTTCAAGGTAACATGCATAACAAACCCTTATCAAAAGTGAATGTGTATTCTCCTGACAGGAATCAACGTACCTTTCATTTTAAAATGTTACTTAAAGTAGTTGTAAACCCTTATCTATACCCAGTAAAGTGACTAGTCTCAGGTGATACACAGAGATGAAAACACATCCTCCTACATAAGTTGTAGTCAGTTGTTCTGTGTAAAGGAATTTGTCACAGACTCACAAAGCGGGGGCTGAGAGTTGCAGTTACACACTGTACAAGAGCTCTGAAAGCTGATTGGAGGAAAGGGACACACCCCCACTCACATAGCACACAGGAACAGAGTTGAGGATGTCAATAAGCTAGAGATCCCTCCTCTGTCACCATTTTTCTCTTGGTGTCAGGAAAACTTGTCAGTGATTCATGGTGATAACAGAGGAACTAGACAGCAGACAGAAATGACACTTGGATAAATGCTATAGAAAAATGTTTTGTTCAGATTTGATGTCTGAGGTTAATTACCACTTTAAATTGGATTTTCTGAGTTTAATTCCCAAATGTCTGCATTTTATCTCAAGTTCAAAACAAAATTTCTCTGGATCAATGTTGGGTATAGGATTGTGTATATGAAGGTTTCTATTGGTGTGTTCCTTCTTTTTCTTTTGGTTGAACTAAATGGGCTTGACTTTTTTCAACTTGGGTAACTATGTAACTTCATTAAGGGAAAAGTGAGTTCTGCTTTTTGCACCAAGAAAATGGAATTTAAGGAGAAATTCAAAAAGGGTCAAGGGACAGTATCATAGTCAAAGTCTGTAAAGTGTCCCTCTATTCTGAACTGGAGAGTAGCTTTTTAATTGATCCGATAAAGTAGTTGTGGAGAAAGCTTTTTTTATTCTCATGGCAGAGAGATTATATAAGATTGGTAACAGAGTCCATGCCATGCTGACAAGACACCTCAATGATATCAAACAACATAAGTATTCTCTTTGCAAGGGAGGATAGGCTCTAGGGCACCCAGTTTGCTCAGGTCTTAGCAGAGTTTTATAGAGGCATACTTATAACTTCCCTCCCAGAACACAAGCCTATCCCTCTTATTGTCCAAGATTTCACATCTAGCTACTTACCTGTCAACTTTAGACTCAAATTTCTTAAATCACACATTAGAGGTGACAAAAAAGCATCACGTATTTATAATATCTACTGTATGTCACCTGTCTTTTTAACCGGTGGGGTTGATTTACTAAAGACAAATTGGATATTCACTTTGCAAAGGGATTTTCACTTTGCAAGAGAATTTTTTGGGGTGAAACTCTGCTCACTCCATTTATTCAGTCATGAACAAACAAAAAATGGGAATGTTGATTTACCTGTAGATGCCTTATTTTGGAGTACAGTACAGGCCACAGGACTCATATTCATAGACCACATGCAGAATAGTGTCAGGTGACTGGACACTGGCAAAAAACTTACTAGGGTCAAATCTAGAGTGTGCTCCTATAACCCCACTCTCTCCTTGAGAATCCAGGTTTTGTGCAAGCACCAAGGAGATAA